TGCTGATTTTGCGGTGTTACTGTGGTCTGATCATTCCATTTAATTTCTGGAAGTTAACATTCAACATTATTATTGATTTTTCTGGACTTCACTTTTAAAACAAAAACAAAAACAAAAACAAACAAACAAACAAAACCTTAGAGACAGAAAATACATAGGTTGCCCTATCTGTCTAGATGTTGGGGTCTGGAGGGTAGAGTTGGAGCAAAAAATATTTAGTTGCCCTAGTCATTGAAAGGGGTAGCTCACAACTCTGATTTGAATGACTTCTCCAGTCAGTCTTTAATAACAGTAAAATAAGCATGACTGAACTAACCATAGTATCTACACTATGGATTGGACAAAGGCTTGTCCCCAGAAATTCTTGTTTTGGAATTTGGTCCCCAGTGTAATGGTGTTGGAAGGTGAAAAGATCTTTAGGAGATGAGATCTAGTAGGTGGTGATTAATTCATGGAAGCATCACCTTGGTTATTGGGTTAAGGTTTTCTTGTGAGACTGAGTTCTCGTTCTCATGAGAAGGGGTTACGTCTCATGAGAGCAGGTTGTTATAAAAGGAAGATGACAGCCTCAGGTATTCTTCTTGGTATGCACCTGACATCCTCTCTGCTTCAGTCAGCTGTGTGGGTGATATAGCCTGCCTGATGCCAGCCCCCGCCCCATGCCTTTGGACTTTCCAGCCACCAAAATCATGAGTCAAATAAACCTCCGTTCTTTAGAAATCACCCAGGCTCAGATATTTCTGATAGCAACATAGTAGTAGATTAAAACAATTTGCTTTTCATACTATATTCTTCCACTTTTTATTAATTTGGAACAGCATTTCTCTGATTAGACATAAATAAACTTAATCATACCAGGTTATGTGATAAGAAGTGGAAACTTGAGATGTCTTGAATAAGACATTGCTGGATAACTAGGTATAAACCAGGTGAGCAAATAAACAAGTCTACTGAATGAATAGAAATATACAAGAAGAGAAGGAAAAAAAACCGAAAATACATGTTGTACAGAAATTCAAATAAACCTTATATAAATAAAGAAAAATATAGCAGAATAGCCAAGAGATGTTTTTTATTCAGAACTGTATAATGTGTAAATAGGTCCTTTGGCATCATCATGGCTAAATCATCTATAGGGAGTTAAAGGTTATACAAACAGAAATGATAGCATTTCAAAAAGTATCAACAAACAGGAAAATGCTAGATTTGCATCATAAAGGACGCATATCTTGCTGAGTTTTGAGCTGGACAGAAGAAATGCATTTACATGAAAAATTGAAAGACACTATCAATATGAACAAAGTGATGTGGAAAATTAGAATAATTATCTGGATAATTCAGGCCAAAAATGCTAATGAGATAAAACAGTTTTTTACAACTTGATTTATCTGGGTCAGCTGTCTACATTTATTAAATTAGCCAGACAATTATTCAAGTCTCCATTTTTCTGAGCTTGAATAGACTCTGGTATTGATTCTTTATTTGAGGGACGAAGCAGAAGAATCTTTGTACATTATTGATATTTTCATATTGGTTACAGATAATACTCATTTTTAATCTCAGTATGCACTTAGTTACAATTTAGGAAATTGGTACATTATACTTGCATCATGCTTAAAGTAAGCTTGTTAAATACCAAGTTGCTGTTTAGACTCATAGCATTGTCTCAGGCACAAACCAAGCTGAGCTACATACCACTAGGTAGTTTTTTAAGTCTTGTAAAAGTTTGTCAAAATCATTTAAGATAGGGCACTGTATGTTTCAAGTGACGATTTGACTCTAGCATTTTGATTCAATTGATTAAAATGGTATCAATTTAATTACTAATTTTATCTTTTTACACAATCCAAATACTGAGATTTTCTCTCTTGAAATGGTTATTTAGGGATAAATTAAATATAATAAAATGTGGGTTCTCCAGACATGTATAAGAAAAGAATGGAAGCAGAAAACTGTAATAGTATTTGAGAAGAAACACTTAATGTGTGACAGTTTCAAGCATCTGTACCATAAGGCATATATTTTACTAGAAACACTGCGGCACCGAAACTGGAAGATGAAAGATAGGTCTTAATTTTTTTTTTAATTTGATACATTCAATCACTATGCATCACTAACACTTGTAAAGTGAATTTATCCAACATGAATACACTGCATACCGGTCCAGTTGAAGATACCATACTCGTTATCATCAACAGATAATCATCCATTTCTGTGTCCCATAAATGTCTTACCTCTCTATTTTCTCTTTGGTTTGAAAGATGTATCTTAAACTCAAACTTACAAAGACCTCTTGGCTTTGGAAGTTCTATCAGACTGCAAGAATTCTTTGAAGCCTATTTGGAACATCAGGTAAATAGCATAAATATTTTCAAGACTTTATGATGACAAATATTACAAAACAAATGCATGCTTTGACAGATCCTCTCTAAAGAGCTCTCATCTCAGATATAATCCACATAACTTATCATAAGATGTATAAGTTGGGAAAACTTAGCCAACGCTTATGAAAATGAACGAGCTCAGAAAGCAGGGTTTTGTAACCTTGACAAATATTGACAGTTTGAACAAGATAATTCTTTGTTGTGGGGGTCTGTCCTGTTCATTGTAGAATATTTAGCATGCCTTGTTCTTTCCCCACTAAATGCAAGTTGTACCCTATCTCGTAAATGTGACAACTAAAAATGGCTCTGCACATTGACAAACACCAACTACAAATGTCTCTAGAGACTGGCAAATGTCCCTTAGCAAACAAAATCACCCTGAGTGATCATGCCTGCACCTGGGGCTGATCTCAGCATCACTGTACCTGCACAACGACCCACTCGCCTTCCAGTCCCATCAAATGTGAGCACGTTTCTCTCAGAGGCTGCAGCTTTTCAGCTTGTCTCAGTAGGAGATAGATGTAGAGACTGAAAGGGAAAATGTGGTTAATAGTGACTTTGCTCTGAAGAATTTAACTTGAACACCCTGTATATGCAAACCATATTTAGTTAACCCTTTAAATGCCTTAGTCCTTAAGTGACCTCCCAAAGAAAACCATGAGACCAACCCTGGGTGTTTGGATTTACAGCAGTGCTGAGTGAAAGAACTCTCATGCTGGGAAAGCTCTGATCAGCTGAGAATGTTACATTCATTCGGACTCTGCAAATAGAGTGGCGTCCTGCTCTGTGAGTTTCCGTCATCCTTGGCACCTTTTCCAGAAGTCTGTAAAAAACCTGAACAACTTTGGTGGTGCAGTGATAACTGGCCCAAAAGTTGTCATTTGTTTCCCTGCAACCACTAAAATAAATGCTTCTGTTTGAAAATATCTGGCAGCGAAGCCAAGGTGCTTCCTCCCCCTCCCCCTTTTTTTAATGATCTATGCTTCTGCCGTTAGAATGCTGGCTGAAAATGCCTGCTAGTATGAAAACTACCTTCATTATGTAAGTGGGTCCCATCAAATTATATTAATAAGCATTTTTTCTATGATTAATTAGATAACTGGAAAATGATTTTTAAAGTGTCTTACAAATGGAAGGAGGAAATCCCTCCTGGAGCAGGGTTTCTCACTCTTGGCACTATTGCCATTTTGGACCAGGTAACAATGGGGGAGGCTGCCCTGTGTGCTGTAGAATTGGCAGCAGTATCTCTTCCTTGACCCCCTAGATGCCAATAGCATTAATGCTACCCATCCCTCTGATGTTCCCTCATATTAACACTTTCCATGTGCTATAGTTATTACAATTGGTGAGCCAATATTTATAGTTTTCTGGGTTTTGGACAGGATTTTGGAGAGGGTGCGTGAGCTTGCCAGAAAAAGAGACAGAAAGTGAGAATTCACCCCCTAGGGGGGATGGCCACACCACAGTCCCTTCTCCTCCATTCTCCTCTTGAGATCTTGGGCATGAATGCACATATGCCTGCTGTTGACTTTAAGTCACCGGATCCAGGACTCGAACCACATGTATTCAACTCAAGTCAACTACATAGGAATCTAGTGACACAGCTAGATTTGTGTTTATGTTATACATCCTATGGGTTATTATTTTTTTTGGAGAGTTTTTTTTTTTTTTTGCAATAGGGTGCGTGCGCTCGCCAGACAGACAGAGACATGAGACAGAAAGCGAGAAATCACCCCCAGGGGGATGGTCACGCCACAATCCCTTCTCCTCCATTCTCCTCTTGGGATCTTGGGCATGCACGCACATGCGCCCGGTGTGAGTTTTAAGCCACCGGGTCCGGGACGCGAACTGCGGTCGACTACGTGGGAGTCCAGCGACATAGCCATTATGCTAACTGCTGGTTCCCCATCCTATGGGTTTTAAACAAACTTATAATGACATTTATCCATAATGACAGCATTGTACAGAATAGTCGCACTGCCCTAAACATTCACCGTGCTTTGCCAACACAACCCCCATCCCGAAACCCAAATTCTGGCTATCACTGGTCTGTTTATGCTCTCCACAGATGTGCCTTTCCTTGAATCTTACAGTATGTCTTCTTGATTGGTTTCTTCCACTAAGCAGTATGCATTTAAAGTGTCTCCATGTCTTTGTAGATCGATAACATTTATTTTTATCATGGAATAATGTTTGTTTAGATTCACGATAGTTTTGTCCAGTCACCTATTGAAGAGTATCTCAGTTCTGAGTTTCAGAAATCATGAATAAAGCTGCTATACATGTTTAGATGGAGGGTTTTGTTTTATGTTTTAAGTTTTAAACAGCATCTAGATGTTGTGATCTCCTACCTCAGTCTCCCAGCTGGTACTACAGGTATATGCCACAGAGCTTGGCTCTTATTTGCATAGGGTCTGGCTGTCCTTGCCCAGCTTTCTGTCCTTCCAGATCAGCCTTTTGAGTTGTTGGAATTACAAGCACATGCCACCTTCCTAGCCTTTAGGTGGGAATGGGAATGGATATCAAACCTGGGCCTCTCCTGTGGATTCTGCCTTTAGAACACAGTATCTTGACAGTGTACACTACTGCAGCTGGGTCCGTATGTAGGAATTTGTGTGGATGTAAATTTTTAATTCATCTCAGTAAATACCAAAGAGCATGACTGGCGAATCATATGGTAAGGGTATGTTTAGTTTTGTAAGAAATTGTCAGTCTTCTAAACTGGCTATAGCCATTTAGTAGTCCCACCTGTAGTGAGAATTCCTTCTGTTCCATATCCTCACTAGCATTTGGTGTTCTGGGTGTCCTGGGTTTTGGTCACTTTCATAGGTGTGGAATGGCTTTTCTCTCTCATTTTTAATTTCTTTGAGAGATTTTTGCTATAGGGAGCATGCACTCACCAGAGAAACAGAAAGTGAGAAATCACCCCCGCCCCAGGGGGCATGGCTATGCCCCTCTCTTGGGATCTTGGGCATGCACACACACACCATGCCTGGTATGAGTTTTAAGCTGCCAGGTCTGGGAATGAAACCACAGTTGATTACGTGGCAGTCCAGCAATATAACCATTACATCATCTGCTGGCCCCTTTCATTATTGTTTTAACTTGATGTTCTCTAATGATATGTGACGCTGAAGATCTTTCTATATACTTACTTGCCATCTGTGTATCTTCTTTAGTGAAGTTTCCTCTCAGATCTTTCAGATCTTTTATCCATACTTGAATTATTTTATTATTATTATTTTAAGGGTTTTTTTTTTGTTTTTTTTTTGTTTTTTTTTTTTTTTGCTTAAAGTGCATGCACTTGCCAGAGAGACAGAAGTGAAAGAGTTCAGAAGGGAACTGAGAAATCACACTCTTGGAGGATGGCCACGCTGCAATCCCTTCTCCTCCATTCTCCCCTTTGGATTTTGGGCATGCATGCACACGTACCAGGTGTGATTTTTCAAGACACTGGGTCCAAGACTCAAACCGCAGTCAGTCACATAGGAGTCCAACACCTTAACTACCATGCTCAATGCTGGCACATCTTTTATTATATTTTTATTGTTCAGTTTTAATGATTCTTTGTATATTTTGAATACCAGTCCTTTATCAGAATTTTTTTTAATTTTCTTACAGTTTGCAGCTTGTCATCTCATTCTGTTTTGTGTGTTTTTTTTTCTTTTTGCAGAGCTTAAGTTTATAATTGTAATAAACCTCAACTTATCACATTTTTAAATTTGTGGATTATTGTGTTGTATCTAAGAAGTTATTGCAAATCCAAGATCACCCAGCTTTTCCTCTGTGTTATCTTTTAGGAGTTTCATGTTTTCTCATTTTATATTTAGGTCTCTGATCCATTCTGAGCTAATTTTTGTGAAAGGTGCAAAGTCTGTGTCCAGATCCTTTTTTCCTTTGCTTTTCTTTTTGTGTCTGGATGTCCAGTTTTTTCATCACTATATGTTGAAAAGACTATCCTTTTTTTATTTTATTTTCATTTCAGTATCATGTTATGAGCTTCTGGGTCTTGGCTGACATCTACAGAAAATGTTGCTATTTTTAAGCAAGCAATATTTTTCTTCATAAACAATTGACCCAGTTAGTTTCTGTGCATTGTGATTGTGATTCTTTTTATTTATTTATTTTTAATTTACCAGAGGGTGAATGTACTTGCCAGAGAGAGACAGAAAGACAGAAGGAGAGGAAGAAGGAGAGGAAGCTAGCACTCGCATAACGGATCAGGGCCCTGATGCTATCCCTTCTCCTCTAGTTCTCCATCCTGTTAGGATTTTGGACATGTTTTACACATGCCCAATGTGTTTTTCAAGCAACTAGGGCTAGGATTCGAACCTTGTGGTTGGCCATGTGGGATCTGACTCCCTTAGTCACTCGGACATAGAGTAAGCCCTGTGAGTTGTGATTCTAATACCAGTTTAGTTTTCAAAATACTACAGTGCTGTTTTGATCTGTCCCACATATACAGCACCAAGTTGGTCTGGTAATGCTCTAGCTTATAATCAGTTATCAAATGCTACCATGTATGCCATCCATATCAGATCCACTCATGCTTGGCTCAGAGGTAAGTCCATAACAACTTCAAGTTGAGTCCATTCCTCTGCAACATTGCCTGGGCATATTCTATTCAGCTCTCTGGACCTCCTCTTTTCTTGTTCTTGAGCCAAAATTTGGTCTCAATGTACCCATCCTGCTGCACACGTCCTGGAACTATGCCCACATTTGCGACTAAGAAGAAAGAAGATGGAGAAGGAGAAGAAAAGTCAATGGGCATTCTCTGAAATCCTCTCAGAACCACAGTCCCAGGTCTGTGAGGAAGTCTCCTCTACCCCACACTCTCCTCAGAGCCTTTTGCTCTTCTACAGCACTGTAGCCGCACGGTCCGTGCATACACAGGACTGCTTGGGTCCCAGGACACAAAAGAGCAGAGGCAAGGAAGAACAAGAGGAAAAAATGTGGTGACTTTCTCCCCTTTCTGTGAGCCTTAGGACATCTCTTTCTTCTTCTTAAAGCTAGAACTAGAGGATTTTTACTGGAGATTTCTCTCTCTGTATTGATTATCTCTTCCAGATTTCAAACTGCATTGAGCTCGTGCTGGTGAAACCAGAGGAAAGAACACCATGAAAGGCCCACTGCTGGTCAATAGTACTTTGACCGCTGGCCTTCTTACTTAATCCTCTCATTTATTATTTGCTTTGCTGAGTCTTCAAATAGCTGTCCCATGCATTCCTTTTAGGTTTCATGGCTGCATTCAATGGGTTGTAGAGGGTGGAGTTGTGTTTGCTCAGTCCTATGAGCAGAACCTTTGTAGTCTTACTTCAACATATATGTTGTTGCTTTGGTGGATATGTCTCCAAATAATGACATTTACAACAGCTGAGTGAATTTTCTACCTGTCTTATCTTTAATACATCTTTTACTTTATATAGGAAAACTGTATTTTATAAGAGAAAAAAGACAGAGATATAAGCTATTTCGGTAAAAGAAAGAATTTTATGAATTTCCACACATCTTTGTGAACTAAAACTTAGACATTTTGTAAGATTCCTCTACATATAATAATGTGTTGTTGAATGTGACTAAAATCGTCTGCCAAAATCAGAACCATATTAGCTATTTTCCAGAGAAAACTAATGGTTTAATAAATGTACTATATTTTCAAGTGTTGAGATATTTTCACATATTGTCATTCACACAATTTAATGTAATCCTGTGACAAATTGTGAATGTACTTGCTGTTTCCATTTATACCATCAAGGAAAATGAGGATTTAAAGATTAAGAAATTTGCCATGGTTTCCACAGTCTGATCGTGGGATTGCTTATGCTTTGTAATAGATTTTTCTACCTCAAAATTCCAAAGCATGTGATATGGCAAATATTGTTTCAGTTATTTGAAAATTCCACTTAAATGGAGGGTGGAAAGTTATGAAAATGTAGATTAGAAAAGACTAAGAAGACAATACACAAGATTAGTGAATTGGATTTTAACATAAAGAAGTAAAATAATAATAAGTATACCTTAGATATACTTTACTGTCTCTCAAGAGTCATTTTGTAGTTTCTAAATATTTCCCTTGAAGATAGATAATGTGTTATAATATTGGGATTTTAAACCATTACTGACATGATTTACCAATCATTGTGGAAATAACCCATGTTCAGAAGTTCTGAGCTGCAAAAATATATTTAAAAAATATACTGTAAAAATGTTGAAATTAAAAATGCTCCTTATTCAGCATGGTAAAAAAAAGAGACATATCATAGACAAACAAATGATGGACAGAGAAACTATTAGATAATGAAAATCTACTCTATTATCATATGTTTATTTAGTACCTAGCTGAGGAGAATTTTTTTCTTTTAAAGAGGAAAACTGTGAAAAAAAAAATTCCTTCTTAGTTTCTTTGGGACAAAATAATTAATGTTTTTACATTTATTTTATGACCAATAAACTGTGTTTTTATATTCATAATTCCAATGTATTTTTTAAAAGAATAATTTTATCTAACTTTATTTATTTATTTATTTATTTATTTAAATTTGACCAGAGAGGGACAGAGTAAGAGAAAGAATGAAGGAGGGTGAGAAAGTAAGCCGCTAGGTCTGGGACTTGAACCGTGGTCAGCCATGTGGGAATTCAGTGCCCTTAACCACCAGGCCACCCGCTGGTCCCATTCTAATGTATTTTTATAAGTTTGTAAATTTGTAAAATATTCCAGATAGCTTTTTGTTTTTTAATTGCCTAAGAGTGAGAGTGCTTGCAGAGAGAGACACTCCCTGGTGGGGAGAGGTTATGTTGCAATTCCTTCTCTCTGTTTCTCCATTCCATCAGGATTTTGGGGACTCCCCATGCACGTGTGTCTGTTATTTTGTTTTGTTTTGTTTTGTTTTTGTTTTTTCTTCAAAGCTACCAGGGCCAAGATTAGTATCATAGTAGGACATGTGGGATCCAGCTCCCTTAACTACACGGCTGGCTCAACTCCAAATATCTTAGCATGGTCTTCTCAAAAACCATTTCAGCAACATTTCTTCCATTTGTAGATTTAGTGGGAATAACTCAGCATCCCAAGTTACTTTCTATGCCACATGGCAGATTCTGGATACTTCCTCAGTAGTGAACAGTTGCTGAAATGAAATGCAATTGGTGTACATAGATAACTTTCCCTTTGAGGAATAGAAAAGAAGTGTCCCTGAAGGTAGTTGCAGTCCAGTAATTTACATGATCACACACAGAAAATGACAGAGTAACCAGTGTCCTCTGAGAGGAATACAGACAATCCATGAAGCTGTTTCAAAGAGAGGCTTTGATTCCGAGTAGATAAGTGAGCATGCTAGATGCACAGTATTTCATTCATTTATTTTTTATGAAATGATGATTTAACACCTACTGTGCATTTAGGCACTGGATAGATACAGTGGAAGAAAAAGCATGCAAGACTCTTGTTTTTTTCCAGTAGTTAAGGACAGACACTAAGCATCAAAACCATCAAACAGCAATCTTAGGGGGCAGCGAGCGCTGTGGAAAACTAACTTTGCTGGACTCCCACATGGTTGACGGCAGTTCGAGTCCCGGACCCAGTGGCTTAAAACTCACACCAGGTGTGTGTGCATGCATGCTCAAAATCCTGAGAGGAGAATGAAGGAGAAGTGATTGCAACATGGCCATCTCCCTGGGTGGTGATTTCTCACTTTCTGTATCTCTCTAGGGAGTACACACGCACCCTATAGCAAAAATTTCTCTAAAATAAAAAAGAAATCTTCTTTCTTATCTGATAGCAATGTTTAATCTGTATTTGAAATGGCTACAGTAAATTATAAGATATGATATTGTATGAATAGTTATTTGCCCCACTGTGACAAATCATTGTTAGACTCTCTATGACACCTATACCAAATATGCAGAAGACATTAGCCAGCCTCCCTGGTGCAGATGATAGTGTACTGACCTGCAGTGCTCGAAGCCACAGGGCAACCATTGTTCAGATCCCACGTTGACCTGAAAAACACTGGGCAGATGCATACATGCGCCATATTCTGACTACCTGGAAGACTTGGGGAGAAAGATAGTAGTAGGATGATGATGTCTTGTCAAGGGTGCTTCTCTTTCTCTTTCTCCCTCTCATGTGCATGCACTCTCATGAAAGAAATAAACTTAAAACAATGCAAAAGCTACATTTAGCTAATGAATAGGTTTATTTAACCTTGATGAGCAAAGAATGGCTAATGTAGATATATTTATATATTTATTTTTATTCTTCTGAGAGTTACATCCTATCATAGAAAATAATAGATAAAGTGTAGCCCATGCTTATTACTAAAGTTGCTATTTATTTGACTTACTTTTGTAATGCCAAGGATTACATGCGTGTGCATGCACGTGCATGAGAGAGAATGAAAGTACCTTCCAGTGGGGCCTCATCACATGCAATCCTTTTTTTTTTCTTTTTTTTTTTTTCACAATTCTCCATCCCATGAGGCTTATGGACATTCATGTATATATACCTAGTGTGTTTTTCAGGTTGCAAGGGTTAGGACATGAACCTTGGTTGATCACATGGGATCTGGCTTCCTTTGCCCAGGGCTTATCTGCTGAGTTATGGGGCCAGGCTTGGTTGACTTTTTCTCAAAAAAAAAAAAAACGCATTCAGTATGAGATCCCTTTAAATAGTGAGCTCATCAGGACATGCACACTTTTGTTATGGTCAGAAAAATCTGATTTATAAGTCACCTTCAATTTGTCCAGAGAACTATTTGTACATCAACGTTTAGATGCACGGATGAAACAAGGTTGTTGAGGCAGGTCTCAATGATATGGTGCTATATTTTGAAAAGATACTTTTGTGCAGAAGGGCCTGTGTGTACAGAAACCTTTGGAAACATTGGAATGCAAATGTCAACCCACCTCTGTGGAGATAAATTACATAATGAACTGTTTAAGTACATAAGAAAGAAACAGACTTGGCAAATCTTGCTAAGATAATGATGCAATCTATGTGATTACTTTATTTGTTTTTATTTAATCTATTTTAAATGTCAAATATCTCTTCAAGGGCATTATTTCAAAAAGCTCTAGAAACAATTCTCTCTTTAAACATGAAGATCCTTTTCGTCAAAATTCAGTAATAAATCTTTATGCCACTAAGTGCCCAGACTAATGGTTTAAATTCTTAAAAACCCACTAATTTTATCAAACCTAAGCTTCCAAAATCAAAAGGTACATTTTATATAATCCATAGTTCAAAGGCATATACCTGTGTAATTGATAATTGCATGGCTTCATATCCCATACTGGTAAGTTTCTACCAGAGACAGGACAGGACATAGTCTTGATATAGAAAATATGAATTGGGGGAAAGGGGATAAGTTTCTAGGTTCTTTTAACAAAGGAGCAGTTCTAGTTAATGTCAGTCTTAATTGCTAAACTAAGTCTGTAAATGTAAAATGAGCTGAGTTTGTATCTTCACACACACACATCTTTTCTCATGTCCTTTTTCAAACCTTACCGTCCTTAAATAGTCTTTACACAATTGATTTCTGAGGGCTAAATTCACGGGTGCCCAGAGGCAGTCGTTCTCTGTCTTTTTGGAATCCCTCCCACCATATGTCCTGTCCTTTCATTCTCTCTTCAGACATCAGCGTTTGACTTTGTGTTGCTGAAGGGGCACATTTTGGACGAGCTTTCTACTTGCGAGTCCTGCTTCAAATAGCTTCGTTTAGCTTGCCTCACCTTGGCGTTTCTTCACCTGCAAAGCATCAACTATGGTCTCAGGAGTAGGCACAATGGGGGTCAAACGTCTGGAGCTACCAAAGCAGGTCATCTCACCTTAGGGCATAACTAGGTGGGGTTTCAATACTGGGAGTAAATAAGACAGTTTGAGGGGGTCTGAATCTGGGTTGAAATGTGTTTTACAGAGTTGGAGAGAAAAAGACGCTGTGTCTGGTGCTAAGTAACAAGCCACACACACAGGCATGGCTCCGAAAGGCTCTGTGCCAGACTGGCAGTGAAGGCCACTGTCAGTGCCCTGATGAACTCAAAGTAGCAGTAGGTGTGTGGAGCATCCAAAGGTGGAGATCACTGAAGGCCTGGAGGACGGGCAGGCAGCAGGCTTTCAGGAAAGAAACCCTAAGCTGATGGCAGGCATTCATTAATGCATTACTGGCTTTCCACTGAATAACTGCCATGGGCCAGACCCTATCTGTTAGTGACTCCCAATATAGATGCAAGTGAGGTAGGCCTGATGTTTGTTTTCAAAGAGCCAATGGTTTAGTGAGGGTGAGAAACAGCTCTAAATTATACATATGTAATCATATAGCTATAATTGGGGTGAGAGTATTTTGAATAAGTGCCATACTGTGCTGTAAGACCATATGGCAAGAAAATAAAACCTAGTCAACAGAATTGCAGGGGGTTTCCCTGAGGAGGTGATTTTTAAGCAGCCTCCAATCTATAGGAAAGAGGCTGTCAAGAATAAGACAGGGATAAGTCCATAGAGACCGGGCCACGAGGTCATTGCTAAGAACACAGCTTCAGGAACGGGATAGGGGAAGCCAAGTTTTTCCACATTGAAGCAGAAGGGCAAAGTTAGTGCAGCTGTGAGAATGATTCAATGCCAAGCTGGAGAGCAAGGTTAGTAGAATTCAGATTCTGCTGTCCCTGCTCTCCCGCCTGCCTGCAATTGCCCTGCAGCCTCCCCTCTAACCAGCTTAAGCTGAGGACTGACCTTAGACATTGGAAGAATGGCCGAACTAAATGGTTTCAGCTATGGTAAGTGGGGAGAGAAAGGTCTTGGGTCTTTTCATTTGCTTCATGAAATTCTCCCTAAAATTTTCTTCTCTTAAAAGTAAATATATAGGAACCAGCAGATGGTGTGTGTACTGGTTAAGTCAGTGGACTCCCACATAGTCGACCATGGTTTAAGTCCTGGGCCTGGTGGGTTGACCTCACACTGGGTGCCTGTGTGTGCATGCCCAAAATCCCGAGAAGAGAATGGAGAAGGGACTGTGGTGTGACCATCTCCACTGGAGGGGGTGGGGTGATTTCTATTTCTTGCTTTCTGTTTCTCTGTCTCTTCAGCGAGTATATGCACCCTATAGCAAAAATATCTCCCAAAGTAGTATGATGGTTAAGACACTAGACACCTGCCTGGCAGACTGTGGTTCAAGTCCAGACCTGGTGGTTTGAAAACTACCCTGTGCTCCATGTCTGTGCATGTCCAAAATCCTGAGAGGAGAACAGAGGAGAAGGGATTGTGATAAGGCCATTCTCTGCCCCCCCCCGGGGTGATTTTTTTCTCCCTCCCCCTCTCTATCTCTCTCTGTTTCTCTTCAATGAGAACATGTGCCCTATGGCAAAAACCTAAATAAATAAATAAAAAAAGGAAACAAAAGAAAAAGAAAAAGATTTATATATATATATATATATACTTCCTGTAAACTGAAAGCACTGAGTTTAAAGAATTAATGCATGAACTCAGCAGTTTTATCTCCACCTAAATCAGGTAACTGTGTAGACATTTTGAATAAAAGTTACATAGAGACTTGATATTTTTAACCGTAATAGAAGGAGCAGCTGCCATCACCACAGGAGATTCATTTAAATGCAGTCTCTGAGGGAGTTAGTTGTATTCATTATCATCAGGGAGATTTTTTGTGTGTGTGCAGAAGTCTTTAAAGATTAGATGTTTCTCATGAACCTTCTTGTCCTTTAGTTATTTGCCTCTACTGTCCCCTCACCAATAGCTAAGCTCATGGAGAACAGGATTTCTCAGGTGAAGTTTGCTTTTTTCTCTTTGAGGTTCTGAATGCCACTAGAGGTTGTGCGAGGTTGTCTTCAGAAAGTTCATGTAATGTGTGCATTATGAAGAAACAATGCATGGATTTCAAAAAATTGTTTGCACAGGGACCAGCAGATGGCCTAATGGTTGTGTTGCTGGATTCTCACGTAGTCAACAGTGGTTCAAGTCCTAGACCTAAGGGCTTAAAACTCTCACCGGGTGCATGTGCGTGCATGCCCAAAATCCCAAAAGGAAAATGGAGGAGAGGGGATTGCGGTGTGGTCATCCCTTCTGGAGGGGAGGGGATGGTCTCTCCAGTGAGTACATGTGCCCTATTGCAAAAATCTCTCTAAAAGAGAATTCTTTACTCCAAAATAAGTTATACTTTAATCCCATTTTCCATGAATACTTTGAAGTCTCCTTGCATAAGTTTCATTAGGATTTCTACCCACCTATAATATCCTGTTCTATTTCTCCTGGTTCACAAAAAATATAATAATGCAAACTTAGTCTGTATAATTTATTTGTTACCTAGGAGCTTTGAATAAACTAGTTTGAGGCATTGTGGTTAAGGTGGCTGGATTCCACATGGCTAACTACATAGTTTGAGTCCCAGAACCTGCAGCTTAAAAAACACACTGGACACATGTGCGTGCATGTCCCAAATGCCCAAATGAGGGAGAAATAGAGAAGAAATTGTGGAGTGACCATTCCCCACAGGAGATATGCACTCTCATTCTCTCTCTCTCTCTCTTGCTCTCTCTGTCCAGTGATGCATGTACCCTCCAGCAAAATAGAAAGAGCATTTTAAAACTTTTGTTTTCCTTATTTTAAGTTAATGTAATCTAGGAGAGCTTCGTCTTATTTGCTGGCATTCTGAGACTTTCAGGAAGGAGTTATGAGAAATCTGCATAAACAGGTAGTGCACATGTCTGTGTAGCTCTCCGGTTCTGGCCTTTTGGTAACCTTGCAATATCTAAAATCCCTTTTTCTCCCTGCCTTTGGCCAAGAGAGCAGATGGATAATTACACTCCTCAGAAGATAAATTAAGGAAAGAATTTGGACCAACTGGGCGATTGAAATATACTGCTAATGGAGGGTTGGGGAGAAATGACCAAGTAAGAGTCTCAAATGACCTTATTTTCTTCCTGGTGACAGTGCTTTCCAGATTAAAAGCTGTTTTCTTTTATTGAAATAGAATAGTGCCAAACATTGAACCTGCTTTGTAAGACATACATCAAGAGGGAAAATATTTCACCATAATGACACGACCTGACATTTTAAAGCAGATAACAAATGACATCTTGTCAATGGCACCAATTTATTATCCCCTCTCTTGCACCTTGGTGCCACAGCAGGGTACACACACTCCTTTTAATCATGGGACTGTGTTAAACAAATTTTTACCAGCAGAGACTATCAAATGCCCCTCATCGTTTCCAAGTATCCTGACCTCTTGGCTGTCCCCACTGTAGCATAGAAAGACAAAGGCTCTGCTAAATTTTTCATCATTTTACTCAATTTCAGATCCAATTACGTGAGGGTCTTCCATCACTTACCTCGGTGTGTATGCTATAACAGGAAGCGCTACACATTAATCAGACTCTTTTTATCCAGCAGGCACTGGTGCTAAATCACATTCCAAAAAAAAAAAAAAAAGGAATAGGGAAGAGATGCAAATGTCTGAGGAGGTGCTCCCTTTCCTGCAGTTACAACAGGAAGGGACTCCTGTGGGTGGTCTTCTCTGAGTCCCAGAGAGTCTCAAAGTGCACTTTGTATTTCATGTGTTCTTATCACATTTCTCCCCAAAAGGACCCTCTTCTCCCACTTGCTTTAATATCCCTCTGCCAGTTTACATCATAGAATCTACTACTTTGAACGGTGCCCTGGGCAATGACTTTCTAGTTGAACTGTTGTAACTAATCGGCCTGTAAGCTGAAAAATGACCAGCTTGACACCCATTCAGCCTTTTCAGCAATGAAAAATCTCCCTTTATTTCAATGGTTTCTTACAAGCACACAGGGCCAAGACCTTAATGTTGATTTTTCTGACTGATGACATTAAAACTGATCTGAGAGAAGCAAACAGACTGATACTATGAAGTCATTTTAATGTTATTTGGAGTGAATTAACAGCATTTTCTTAAGACTATTTTAAATTATACTTAGGTTGTAGTTTCAGAGACCATCATGAAGATGAAGTGCTTATAGTTTCAGAAGAAATACATAAAAAGTGGGGCCAGCAGGTGGCACAGTAGTTGAGCAGCTGGACTCCATGTGGCCGACCGCAGTTCAAGTCTCAGACCCGGCAGCTTTAAACGCATGTCAGACACTTGTGCGTGTATGTGCAAAATCCTGAGAGGAGAATGAAGGAGAAGATATTTCAGTATGACCACCCCTCTACCCCTCCCCCGAGGTTGATTTCTCACTTTCTGTCTATCTCTGTGTCTCTCTGGTGAGCGCCTGCATCCTGTAGCAAATCTCTCTCTCTCTCTCTCAAAAAAAAAAAAGAAATATATGAAAAGTACACTATGAAAGTTAAATAAATATCACATAAAGAAAACTAATAGAGAAGACTAAAATATGTTTTCCTTTACACAATATGGGATAAGCCTCATAGTTTAAGACAAACATAGGTCTAAATACCACTGCGACTGCTTTCTAATTATATGTATCTGGTCAAGCTAAATAACCATTCGAAATCTCAATTTGTCCCTTTAGAAAACGGGAATAGCATTATTATCTACCTCCCAGAGTCTGAAAGGATTAAATAAGCTAATATGTACAGAATACCAGGCATAGTTTCTGACATGCTAAGCACTCAGTAAATATTTGTTTTCATTATTATCTTCATGCAATTCGAAGACATGCCTAGAATAAGCAAAACAAAACAAAATGTAGTTGTTATTTTTTACTTTGGAGAACTGATTGGAAGGAATAATCCCTCTTGCCCTAAATTCGAATTTAGGATTTTAAATCTTGCTGCAGAAAATATCCTAATTGCCCTTCCATGAAAAAATAATAAAAAAAAAGTCTTTATTATGTAAGCAGCCTAAGAAATAAGTTAAAACCAAAGTTCTTAAAATTTTAACTACAAAATTGCATGGAGATAGTTCCAAACTATTAATGAATAGCACACATATTCTGCATGGAAAATATTTTCAGAAGCTTAGAGATTTACATATATTTTAGGAGTGTCTACTCAGTTTTCTAGCGTTGACTCTAAATATAAAGAAGTAATGTGTAGACTCTACCTCACTTCGAGCACAGTTCTAGAAACAGCTCTACCTGATGGCTTCACTCAGTCCAGATGGACATAATGATTTGAAATTGTTTACTTTCTTGGTTTGCAGTAGCAACATTTTGTTGTACAATGAACAGATTTTGGGAGAGGACATCTAAGTAAAACAAAATAAGTAAAGATTTCAATGACTTGCCGTCAGTAGTCACTTTCTCAATTAGCTCATTATCCATTGTAGCCACAAAAGAAATGAAGGAGTTTAATTTCACATCACCCATTATTTTGTGAATGTAACATTCTTATATCCTTATACTTCTAGGTTGCATGACAAAAGGTAAAATCCTTAAGCCAAATAACGGAATGGCTGTGAATTAAAATAACTTCTTACCTTAAACTGTAAAATTCAGTCAAGTGACTATACATTTGTTAGATTTCTTTCTTTCTTTCTTTCTTTCTTTCTTTCTTTCTTTCTTTCTTTCTTTCTTTCTTTTTTTTTTTTGACAGATCTTTGCTGTAGGGCGAGGGAGACAGAGAGAGACAGTAAGTGAGAAATCATCCCTCAGGGGAGATGGACACACCACAATCCCTTCTTCTCCATTCTTCTCTCAGAATTTTGGGTATGCATGCACATGCACCTGGCATGAGTTTTAAGCCACCGGATCCGGGACTTGAATTGCAGTTGACTACATGGGAGTCTAGTGACATAACCATTGTGCCATCTGCTGGTCTGTTTGTTAGATTTCTAAAAACT